CTTGTTATGGAGAGACTTCACCAACTCTTCCTTTCACTTGTTTTGCTTGACTTTTTCTCTACTCTTAACCAAAAGAACAAAAACCCTCAAACTTCAATATGAACCAAAACTCACAAATCACACAACTTAAGTAGGAATCCTTACCTTAGGAAGCCTTAGGTTGCTTTTCTACCCCAAATCACTTCAAAAACCCCTTGGAATACCTTGATCAAAAGAAAAGAGAAGTTGAGAGGAGCAAAGATAGGGAGTTGCGTTTTTGGAGAAGAAGAATGAGGGGTTTTCCAATTCTAATTCCTTTTAATGAAATATAAACACACTCATTCCCATTTTGCCCTTATTTTTCTTTGGGAATTCCATCTATATCCTTTGATTCATTACAAACTCACCCCCTTTAACAACATATTCTCCATGAAAAATCATTACAATTAACTCCCCACTTTTCCTGCTAATTAGGGGTAGAAAGGTCAAAATGCCCTTAGGGAAGAAAATATCTAAAACTTAACCAACATTTTAAACGGGTTGTCGCCGTGGCGAAGAAACTTCTGTCGCCGCGGCGAAACTGTCCAGCAGCTTCCCCGTGGCTTCAACACCTCTTCGCCGCGGCGAAGATTCTTCTTCGCTCCGGCGAAGACTGAAACACTAAACTTCTTCTATTTTCAACCAATTTCAGGGCAAACATTCAAACAAACCATATTACCAAAACCAACTCAAAAAGAGCAAAGGAAGAAACAACAAATACGTACCTCAAGTGGGGCGTTACAGGAAAGCTTAGGAAATGGAGGGAAGAAATTGTTTTTTGGTGATGTGGCAGGGCTGGTGACATGGCAGGCTGACGTGCCATCTTAGGGGACGTGGCAAGATGAGTTAGCTTGAGATTGATGAGGTGGAGGGGAGAGATGGATGATTGGTTAGTGAGTTATCATAATTTGAAGTCAAAGAGATAAGAGATAAGGAAATCAAAGGGGAACCAATGAAAAACAAGTGACGTGGCAAACAACTTATGGAACAGCCTATTAACCAGTCCAAAGAGATGTGGATAAGAAAAAAATCTCAAAAATCCAAATGAGCCAATGAGAGAGAAGGGCACCAATGGATAGCACTTGGATGGATTCAAGCTATCTCACTCAACTAGTGAACAACAACCAAAAGTGGCAGACAACTCCAGCCAAAACAGCAAAGCTCCAGCCAAAGAAGCACCCAAACTGCGGTGACCAGCAAGAATCCGGTAGCAACAGGCTACACCACCAACCCACTCTACATTTCCGATCAAAACAGAACCACAAACAGCCCCTTTACTCCTACCTCCCTTCAACACCAAATAGCAACTCCAAAAAAATGAAAATAAACAAAATGACTCCAGCAACCAGCAAAACTCCAGCCACCCACGTTCTTCCCAATCCGGCCAAGCCAAGAAACAGCCCACATAGACAAGCTCAACCACAACAGCCACCAACAAGCAAAAGAGAAGACAGGAGAGCAAACAACCAGGGAGCTTGATTTAAACCCAAATGAAACCCCCAAACACAGCAAAGAAGGACGGAAACATAGCAAACTAAAAGGTTAACAAAAACAGAAAAACAAAGTGTAGGTTTGTGAAGGAAAATGTGAAAAGAAAAGTAAAGGAAATGGTGAAGCTCTCTGGTTAGAGGGACAGGTGAAGTTTGATGGTAAAAGTGGAGGATGGAGGATGAGGATGGAGAGAGGGGTGGTGGGTGGAGAAGAAAATATGGAAAGAGGGCTGGTTTCTAATCCTAGAGAGAAGAGAGAGCATTTTCTCTCACTAACGTGAACAGTAGCTTAGGTGGACTAGATGTCCACTGCAAGGAAGTTAGATCTTCACAACAACAGGTTGATTAGGTAGGCCAACAAACTTAATCCACACCACTTAATAGCTCCCATTACCAACCTCAAATGTGAAACAAGCCAACAAGCCAATCACACAATTCAATGGCCTAAGCCATTGTCCTCAAGTATGATTCTCCGTATCAGTAGAGTGGGTACTACATGTCGCCACGTACACACAACAAGTGTACTTCTCTACTATTCCTATGACGTGCTTATCAACCTTCGCTTTGGCGAACAAGCAAAACATGTCATTTTAAGTCGACCCATCACTATTAAGGAAAACTCCAATGAACCTCCCACTGTTAGAAGTGTACCCTTCGCTTTGGCGAACAAGGTTTCGACGAACAGTGGTTTGAAATATATATTGTAAATATTTTTAACTGTGTAATATATTTTATTTAGTATAAATATAATTAATTATTTAATGTATAAATTTATTTACCTATTTAATATTTAATTTAGAATATTATAGTTTAGTTGTTTAAAAATAATTATTAGATTATATTGAATGTTTTTAGATTAATTTTTAATTTATATATAGTTATCTAGACTTATGTTTCACAAAACACATGACAACATGAAATAAAGGTGATTTAGATGGCTTAATATTGGTAGAGAAAAAAAAGGTTTCCCTCCCAATTACTAGATGTAAGCACTTATTAGATCACAATAAAAATAGGTTGACAACCCTCTCTCATAACCTTTCTATCACAAACCTAATGTGGCAGCTGATTTTTTTTTTTTTTTTTTGATGAATTTTCCGCTAGCCGAGGTTGCCTAGGGGTGTGCTAAGAGCTGTCATGTTGGGGTTGTGAGAAGAAGTTTGTGTGATTGCGCTGTTAGTGTAGTATTGCNTCAACAGGTCTTGAGTTCGAGTCTCTCCTTAGTTGTTAATAGGGGTAGCCACTAGAAGTACTCTTATCAGGTCAGTAGTTTCAAGGTCCCAGAGATTAGTTGAAGTGTTGTAAGCTGACCTGGATACCCCCAGTCATAAAAAAAAAAAAGCAATAATATTAAAAAAAGAGAAGAATGTACAGAAGGCCTAATAAAAGGCTATCAGCCTATTTTGGGACATGCCCCTGAAAATAGGAATTAAAAGAAATAAGCCTACAAACAGCCATCCACTCTTGGGGTTTATCTTAAACCACATAGAGAGATAAACACCAAGAAGAAAGCAAAGAGAACACCAAAAATTCCACCTACCATAGGACACCTCCCTAGGTTAGGATCATTAAAAGAAAAACACAAGATCAAACTCTTTACAAATGATACAAATACAACCAAGCAAAAACCGTTCTGTGTAACCCTCCGTAATCCAGTTTTCAAACGGTGTCGAGAACTTGAGAAACATCTTTGAAAATAGATATAGGGAGGCCCCAATCATTTGCCAACTTCCTATTGCTGTAGGATGCTTTGACATTCCTAAAGTCCATAGCTTTGTCTACAACAACACTTTTGATAGCATCAATTATGGTGAAGGAATCCTTATAGTCACCCCTAAAATTTCGTTAATTTTGTTCCTTCCAAATCCAATAAACCGTAGCCCCTAAACAAAGCCTACCCAAAGTGAATTTTAGACTCTTACCTTTCCATTTCCTTGCCAAATGGGGGATGTAATCATGCTCATAGCCAAGGTCAGCAAGCATAAGGATCTTGCTCCAAATAGACTTAGAAA